ACACAAAAGTAACTAAGACAAGAGCTAACAGAGATCTGAACCAACAAGCCTAATTGACTTCTAAACCTCACAAAGGAATTAGCCTCATACACATGCTGAAGGAGGCCCTGTTTTTGATGCAGTTATTGGGACTAAAGAGTAAAAATTATTCTTGACTTTCTTTAATTGTCCCTATCAGATAATCCAGGCACAGTCTTGCTGCCAAAAAGCAGTAGAAAGGAGACACAGGAGCAAGGGGACACCCAGGCAAAGGCAAAAGAGCCCTAAAACAACCTGGAGAAAAACTGACAGACACTCAGAAACACTGGACACTAACAGAAAAGGCCCATCTTAAAACACTTGAGACAGTCTAACATTACCAGAATGTTTCTAAAGCAGCGCTACATTCACCTTGCATCAATACTTCCCGTATGTCTGCAAATAACTGGGGGGTGGGGGACAGAGTCATTCTGAAAGAGGTCATTAGCCCCGGAAGAGATAAAGAATGCTGCTGGAGAAGTTAAGTGGTTTAGGTTGATACTACCTAGCCCTTATTAGGTGGACCTCGGTAGGTTCCATCTGGGTGGAGTCAGACGCAGGTAACGCCAGGGCCACCTCAGAGGATGAGCAAGGGGACTGACTGAGGCAGGATAAAGACTGCTTAATCAGTGTTTCATATTTTGCTTGCAAAACTAGTAACAATCTCTTTATGATTTTTTTCAACCAAATTTCAAAAAAGCACTAATCCATGCTGTTTAAACCCACACCAGGGAAATCTTGGCTGCTTTACTTGGATTGTACAGCTGGCAAAAATCCCACTCCAGGTGGCTCTTCGGGGACAGACAAGGGCCCAATGTGTCCCCAAGTCCTCACTCACACCGTGAATCATTTTTCTCTACATTCAGTGGCTCAGTCTGGACTTTTTGGATTCTGCTGTATTTTCTCCCCCATAAACAAACCTTTAAAATATCAAGATACTCAACGAACATTTTAAAACATAAAGCTCAAGAGGTTTAAAAAACTGTTAAACCAAGGGGAAGAAAATGAAGGAGCAGAATACAGTACTTCAGGATGCAAAGCCAGAGACCGTTCTCCACTGCCTGGGAACATGCAAATTCTAGTATCAAAAACAAAGCAATTTCCAGATTCTTGAGAATTTCGCAGCGTGCTCTGCAATATTTTAGTAACAGATAATCCTGCTTACTGTCTATGATTTTTGAAGATTAAACACACACACATAGCAGATGATTGCTGAATATAAGACATATTTACTTACAACTACAGATCACAATGAGCTACCTAATAAAGAACCAAACAGCAGCAGCAAAAACCTTCCAGAAAATAGTCCAGCATCATACTGAGAAGTTTTGCGACCTCACAAATCAGTTTCTGTACAGTTTGATAAATCATTTTTTAGGGTTTCTTTCTTTTTTCCAGTTTTTTGAGACAAGGTCTCACTACACAGCCCACGCTAGCCTTGAACCTATAGCAATCCTCCTGCCTCAGCCTCCCCAGTGCTAAGATGAAAGGCATTGCACCATCAAGTCTGATTTGATAAATCACTTTACTGAAATACGATTCTCATGTCATAAAATTCACCTTTGTTGCCAGGCGTGATGGCGCACGCCTGTAATCCCAGTACTCTGGAGGCTGAGGCAGGAGGATCATTGCAAATTCGAGACCAGCCTGGGCTACGAAGTGAGCTCAAGGCCAGCCTGAACTGTGTAGTGAGACCATCTCAAAAACAAACAAACAAAAAAATCACCCTTGTAAAGGGTACAATTTGATAGGATCTAATAGACATCTTTAAAACTTCACAACCATCACCACTATCAAAAACATTTTTATCATCCCCAAAAGAAAGTCCAGGCCAGCTACTCAGCATTTCAACCTCCCAAAGCCCCCAGTAACCTCTAGTCGCCTTTTTATGGCTTTACCTTTGCCTATTTGGGACATCTCACACAAACAGAATCATACATTATGGAGCTTGTGTGAGTTTGGTTAAACTTTACACTTTACTACATGTAGCTTACCTGTTTTTCATAACAAAGCATGGCCATACAACATGGTGATTACAGTTAATATAATGTAGTACACATGTACTTAAATTGCTAAGAGTAGCTTTTAAGTATTCTCACTACAAATAAATGGTAAGTATGTGAGGTAACGCACACATTACCTTGATCTGGCCATCCCACAGTGTACACTCATTTCAAAATATCACTTTATACACCTAAATTTATATAATTTTATGTGCCAAATTAAAAATATATACATGAAACAAGGGGGAAAAGCACATTTAAAGTAACTGTAATGTCTCTGGCAGGGAATATTTTTAAAAAGCATGGTGGCTCACACCTGTAATCCCAACACTTGGGAGACTGAGGCAGCAGGATCACCATGAGCTACACAGTGAGTTCAACACCTGCCTGAATGACATGGAGAAACCCTGTCTCAAAACGCAAAACAAAACAAAAAGCGTTTATTAACATATAAAACAGCACGCATACAAATTGGGAAACTGTACTGTGAGGCTGATGAGGAATAACAGATATAGACACAAAGAGTACTCTAGGGTGGGAGGCAAGGCAGAAGGATCATCACTAGTTCAACATAGTTTGCTTTTTGTTTGAGGTGTGTGTGTGTGTGTGTGTGTGTGTGTGTGTGTGTATTCTTTCTCCTTTTTGTTTTGGTTTGTAGTGCAGACTGGCCTTGAATCAAAATCCTGGTGATCCTTCTTCCTCAAATGCTGCTTCCTCCTCCTCTACCACCTCCTCCTCCTCCTCCTCCTTTTTTTGTATCAGGAATCAAACTCAAGATCTCGAGCTTGCCAGGCAGGCACTATGAGGCTAATCTTTAACCTGACCCTGCCTCAGCTTCTGAGTGCTAGGATTAGAGGTATGTACCACTAGTGTGGGCTACAGTGAGTTCAAGGCCACAATGAACTACACAGTAAGACCCTGTCTCAAAGAAAAGAAAAACTACCATACAAATGAACACAGTATTGATGTGTTCAATACTGATGTGATACTGATCTTTGCTGCAAATTTTCTGAAAAATGTAGCCTCTTATGATTCTTTTTCTCTTTTTCCCCTCCTGTGATTTTTATAAAGAACCCTGAGCCAGGTGAGATGGCACCTATAATTCTAGCACTCAGAGAGGCTGAAACCTAAGGGTCATAAGTTTGTACCCAAACTGTGCAATGTAGCAAGACTCTGTTTCAAAATAAAAAATAAAAACTGGTTGGTGATACAGAGTATCACACAGTGAATGAAAACGCCCTGGACTCAATTATCATAACAGAGGAGAGGAAAGGGGAGGAGAGGGGAGGGGAGGGGAGGGGAGGGGAGGGCAGGGGAGGGGAGGGGAGGGGAGGGAGGGGAGGGGAGAGGAGGAGAAGAGAGGAGAGGAAAGAAAGAAAGAAAGAAAGAAAGAAAGAAAGAAAGAAAGAAAGAAAGATGAAGAGGAGAGAGAGAGAGAGAGAGAGAGCAAGCAAGCAGGAAGGAAGAAAAGAAGTCCTGACCAACATTTTGTTATAGTAGTTTCCAAATAACTAAATTAAATTATTATTAAAATGTTAATCACAATACATTGCTTTCATTAAAAAAAAAAAAAACTAGGACTGGGGATATAGCTCAGCCACACAGTATCTGCCTGGCAAGTGCAAAATCCTGAGTTTGATTCCCAGTACCAAAAAAAAAAAAAAAAAAAAAAAATCACTAGCCGGGTATGGTTAGGCACACCTGTAATCCCAGAACTCAGGAGGCTGAGGCAAGAGAATTATTGTGAGTTCATGGCCAGAAAGGCCAGCCTGCACTACATACTGAGATCCTGTCACACACACACAAAAAAAAGTTAAGCTAAATTTAATTAAATAAATTCACTAAATTTCACTTTCCCAGTATTACAGAAAAGATACTTTTAAAACTTTTTAATTTACACACATACAAATAACAATAAAAATTGAAGAAATCACAAAAAAATATATACATAGTTGTGAAAATTGGTTTTTTAAAGGTATTTTACTTTCAATGTAAAAATACACAGGTGTGCTAGTACACACCTGTAATCCCAGCACTCAGGAGGCTGAGGCAACAGCATTGCTGAGTCTGCGGTGAGCCTGAGCTACACAGTGAGTTCAAGTCAGTCTGCAACACAGAGAGAGTCTGTATCAAAAACAAGTATCACCAACACCAAGCATATTGGCATACACAGTAATTCTAGCACTCGATACTTAGAAAGGAGGAAAGAAACTTCCCAATGGATCTAAACTACAGTTAGACAACAGTGAGCTCAGCTGTGCTGAGCAGGGTGAACACAGATAGAGCTAAGGAAGTTCAAGAAGCTGGAAAAGGGGATTTTTAATGTTTTCATCATAAAGCAATGAAAAGTGATCGAGAAGATTGCTTTAACCTGACTTAAGCATTAAACAACATATACACGCACAGAAATACCACACAGTACCCCATACATCTGTATAATTGTTATGTTTTCTTATGTATCACCTACATTCACACATATGTAAATTTTTAATAAGCACAACATGGGAGCAAATTCAGTAAGTTTTATTTAGCTTCTAAACATGATCGGTTTTTACATCTTTACTCAGAATATAACTTAGAGGCGGCATCCAAGCAGTACCTTCAAAGTCTGAGCTGAAAAGCCTGAGGGATAATTTCTAAATAATAAACATAACTGTCATCTCCCTTAGTATTTACACTAACTCCATCACAGGCACCCCGTAACAGTCACTGCCAGTACCCAGGGAACTACATTTTTAAAAATGAAAACAGCAGCCTGAGAAGGGACACACAGAAGTTAACAAAACACCCTCAGTCCCAAAGAACACAGCAAGGTAGACACCAATCCGGGAGGGAGGGATGGAGGCATGCTCCGGAAGCACCCTCAGTCCCTCCACTCTTGCGCATCCTTGCTCTGCTGATGCCTCGAGCCTTGGCTCTGGCACCCACCAGACAAATGCAAATCAAACAAGGCTGAAGAACAGAGCGTTAGGGTCATACCTTTTCCAGAATGAACTTGTTTAAATATGGCATGTAGCCCTGATTGGAGACGGGCCCTTCGTCATCATCCCTGAAGTGCTCTTCAAGGGCCACAGGGTCGTGAGGAACCTTCAGCACCGTGCACAGGTTATGGGAAAGGACCTAGGGAGAGAGAAAGAGCCGTGTAAAGGCATCCACTCACTAACACAGGACACGTCCACTGTGGGAGCGTGACACACTGCTCTGCCTCGGGATGCCGGGGAGGCGGAGGGCAGATTCGTGGCGTGAAGGGCTAAGCACTGCTCCCGCCAGCCCCTACTTGCTGCCCAGGAGCCTCAAGTGCCTTCCCCAGTTTGGGTTCCCTTCCAGCAAGTTCCTATTATGCACTGCCATGAGCTGGGCTCCATGCAAGGTCTGCAAATATAATACACCTCCCAGTTGTTTAGTAACTGGGCCACATTAGGGGATACTGCTCAGTGGCACAGTGCCTGCCTGGCAAGTGCAAGGTCCTGGGTTCAACTCCTGGCACAAGGAAGGAAGGAAGGAAGGAAGGAAGGAAGGAAGGAACGAACGAACGAACGAAGGGGCAAGAGAATGTGTTTCAAATTCAGTCGTTCCCCAAAGTATATCAGGGTCAGCTAATTAGAGCCTCTCTAGTGAATGAGCCAGGCATTGTCAGCACCACATGGCACTGCAGACAAGGCGGTGACCTGCACAACCTTCACCATCTCTAGGTTTCAGGCTGCTCATTTACTAAGCAGAAAGGATGGGATTAATGTATGAATACAGCAAATATTAATTAACAATCACTAAATGTCCAAACATCTCTATAGTTCTATGACTACAGTTTAAATGTCAACATGAGTATAAAAGAACATAGACATACAAAAGAAATCAAGAGTCTGGGTTAGAAACAGCAAAAACTATCTGAGGTACAGTGGTTACAAGAATAGGACAGGGAGGAAGGTGGAAAAATGAAGGTTGCATTTAATCAGTGCACACTGGACGCATGTTCGAAAATACCACACTGAGTCCCATAAGACGTACAATTAATAAAAAAACCTTAGGAACCAACAAAATAGTTTAAAATACTTTACAGAAAATCTATATCCTATAGCTTAGGTATACAAAGGACCACTACTGGCCTTGCAGTATAAGTGCCCACTTTCATATACAGGCAGCAGAATCCCCAGTTTGAGTTATCTCAGTACTAACAACATTTTTAAAGCAATACTCAAGTCTCCTGCATTTCATCTGTGCATGATGAACGGGTCAGATTACATAGGTAAGGCTGCACTGTCACCAACGGCCATCTTCATAAACGTCAAACCTCAGCTTAAAATGTCCCCTATTTTTCTTGGTCCAAGGATTTAACTACTTAAGGAGCTACAGTCATCTCAGTATACACTTTCAATTTCATTAAGCAAGTCACTTCTTCTGCATACATGTGTTTCAGTTAGGATATTTTTAAGATTTAAACTTTTTAATCTATAAAAAGAACATTTGCATAACTTTTTTCTAAATCAATTTTGTTTCTCAAAGCATCATGTATTTGGAGATTCTTTTGTGTACGCTCTACTGGTTTTAAAGAAGTCACTAAAGCAAAGGAAGCAAATTTACCACTGGTTATAAATGCAGTGATGAAAACTTTTACCAGCCTTACAAAGCAGGCTGTGTTTGTCAAGCATACCTTATGTTTGCATCATGGAAAGACCACAGTGAGAAGTTTGCTGAAGAATTTTGCATTACAGTCAGCAAAATCTTAAATAGATTTTTTTCTCTCTTTGCCTGGTAGGACTTGTAGTACTAACCCAAAGAGGTTTTGTGAGGATTAATTTCAGAACTGTAAAGTGCTTATAAGCTGTAAAGTACTACGGAAATGTAAGTTTTAGAGAAATGAAAAGCATATTTCACAGACAAGACTCAAAGGTCATTCATATTTTAAAATCATCTGGGACTTTACTGTGTAAAAATTCCCAACCTCTGATTAAATTATAAAACATCATAAAATGTTAAGCCACGAGGAAGTTACTATGCACTGATCTGAAAAGATCTCCAAGATAAATTAGATAAATTACATGAAAAAAACAAGGTACATAAGAGTATATAACACCTGCCATCTTTTGTGTAAAAGGAAAAGAAGAAACTGTGGCGGGATACGTAAAAAACAAGTAACTGGCCGTGTGTGCTGGCGCACTGTAATGGAGCATGCAGGAGGCTGAGCAGGGGCACTGCTGTGAGTTCAAAGCCAACTTGAGCTACTTAGTTCAAGGCCAGCCTGAACTACCTAAACCCTGTCTCAAAACAAACAAAGCAGAAACTGATTTCTTCAGGGGGAAGGGCTGCAGTTGATGAGAGCCCAGGGAGAGAGGACAACTTCTTTTTTACTGCATTAACCTTTTTAAAGCTTTTTTGGAGGGAAAACAATCTATTTTAAAATGGCCTATTTTAAAAATTTACTAAAAACTGCACACAGTACATTTTTAACCAGCCAGCCAGAGATTACACAGCTAAATCTACTTATGCTCAGTCTGCTCTCTTCCTTCTGCATCAACCCGCTCCCTGGAGATGAGATGTAAGAGGGACACAGGCTCCTCAGGGGCCTGGGGAATGGAGGGTGCGCTCAGAGGGCAAGAAGAGAGTTTAGAAGAGGACAGCAGTGGGTGTCACTTCGGAAAGGAGGAGAAATCAACCCAGCACCTAACGGATAAACAAGGGCAGTTTTAGGACAGGAACGCTGGCAACCAGAAGTCGACCAGACAGGGAAGCAGATAAAGTGAAAAGATAAGATAAAGTCCTCAAGAAACAGATAGAGAACATCAATCTCCCCTACCTATCCTCTGCCGGGGGGCTTCGCAGGTCCTCCAACTAAAGTCCTGGCAGGGGCCTCAAATAGCATACTGCCATTCTTCTCATCTCATGAACAGGTAAGTACTGGCACAGAGAGATTAAATGTACTTTAAAAAACAACTAAGGTTACTGAGCAGAACTGAGACCAGAACCTAGCTTTTATGACAGCTGGTTCAGGGCTCTCCACTGTATTCAGTTGTTTGACGTCAGCAATCCTACGCGAAGTGCTTAGTTTGATTCCGTAACCCTATTTAGGGTTACGATTTGAACTCCAGACTTCAGCATTGGACACTCTTGCCAGGCATGGTGGCACACGCCTGTAATCCCAGCACCTGGGAGGCTGAGGCAGAACTGCTGGAAATCCCAGGCCAGCCTCGGCTACACAGGGAGCTCCTGTCTCAAACAAAAAGAACACTCTTGTTAAATACAGGAATGGCTGCATTCAGTGATATTTTCTTGACCACCTTAAACGACATGAGGGAGCAGTGCATTAACTGCTTGCTTGCCTGGTGTCAGTACCCTCATCAAAAAAATGAGCAGCTGGGTTCTTACACAGAACTTCAGGGGATTAAAACACCCAACTCTGTTAACTGTCAACCCAATTCATTTTATGAATTCAGCAAAAACAATAATGTAGATTAGTACTTCAGCTTTTAATTTTCATTTTTAGTATGGCCCCAAAAAGAAAGTAGCTGTCAAACAAAAAGCAACACACTACAACAAAAGAAAATGTGTTTCTCTATGATTCCATCTCACCCCAGAAAAAATGGTTATTATCAAGAAAACAGCTAATAACAAATGCTGGAGGGGCTGTGGGGAAAAGGAACCCTTCTCCATTGTTGGTAGGAGTGCAGACTGGTGCAACCACTGTGCAAATCAGTCCGGGGATTCATCAAAAAACTAGGATTTAAAAAAAACAAACTAGGATTAGTGGTGCAATTTGACCCACCAATATCAGTCTGTGTATCCTCATAGAAAAATTAAAAACATCAAGAATTGGGGCTGGGGATTTAGCTCAGCGGCATAAGCGCCTGCCAGGCAGTCGTGAGTTCGATCTCTGGTACGGATAAAAAGGAAAAAGACAAAAAAAAAAAATCAAGAATTCAAAACATCACACCATGGTGATACATGCACAGACATTCATAGCAGCACAGTTTGCAGTAGCTAAATCTTGGTAACAATTCTAATGTCCATCAACTGAACAACAGATTAAAAAAAAGTACGCTTTTTTTTACATAATGGAGTATTACTGTACAATAAAAAAGGATAACCCTAGCCAGGGATTTAGCTCAGTGGCACAAGCGCCTGCCTGGCAAGCACAAGGTCATGAATTCGATCCCCTGTACCAAAAAATAAAACAAAACAAAACTCACAAATAAAAAGAGTAGGAAAATGCTTTATTTGATATTTAAAACTGTTTACCAGCAATTTTTAAAAATCCTAGACAGTATCTCAAGTTTTTAAACATAAAAAATAATAGCTGGGCATGGTGGTGCACACTTATAATCCCAGCACTCAGGAGACTGAGGCTGGAGGATTGTTGTGAGGTGGACCAGCCTGGGCTACAAAGTGAGCTCAAGGCCAGCCTGAACTGCATAGTGAGATGACTCTGCCTCAAAAAAAAAAAAAAAAAAAGACAAAAATAAATAAATCATACAGCCAGGTAGGGTGGTACACAATCAAAATATGCAGAAGATTGATAGAGAGAGGCTGTGAGTTTGAGGTCAGCCTTGGTTACAAAGCAAGACTCTGCCTCAAAAAAAAGGAAGAAGAAAAGAAGAAGTAGCAGCAGCACCCACTACCGCCACCATTCTGAAGGCCAGAACATTAGCGGGCAAGTTTGTAAACTTGCACAACAACCTGTGCTTTTTAGACTAAAGCCACACTATCAACTTGTTTTAGTCTCTAAACTGCTGTTTTACAGATGAAGAGGCTAAATCAGAGATTAGAAGGTATAATCTAGCCAGGTGTGATGTAGGACTCCTATAACCCTAACACTCAGAAGGCTGAGACAGGAGGATCGCCATGAGTTTGAGGTCAGCCTGGGTTACATACTGAGTTCAAGGCCAGCCTGAACTACAGGGAGACCTTTTCTCAAAAAGAAGAACAATGGTCTCAACTCGAAGTATTATGAACCTGTAGTCAGAGCACAAACCTCTCACTATCATATCCTTTCCCCTCGCCACCTTCCCTCTCTTTCTGGGAAAACAGACGCCCCTGCCTAGCAAGGCTGGGAGTACACACACGCTCATGTTGTTTCTAAGCTGCAGGGATGGGCCAGGTTCCCCCAGGGGACCCATGGCCACGAGGAA